ATTTGCTTCAACCATAATATTATCAAGGTTTTAACATTTAAGGACATACACAATAAAGAGAACTGTAACAAGGGTGAACATTTGTAGTTTCCCTAACCTCATCGCTATTCAATCTAACAAATATTTCAAACATATTATTGGTGACATTTGACATATCTGTAAGACTATTACCTTCAGCACTGTGTGCCTCCCCATTGCTTACTTGAACTATTTTTGGGATATCTGTTGTGGAAATGTTTCGACCTACTCTACTGACCTCATCAATCCCCTGCAAGGCTTCTCGCTCCTCCGTTTCGCAATTCTGTCTCGCAATTCTGTCTCCTCCATCTCTTTCGAATTTGGTTTGTATGTCTTTTCCATACTTGTCCTGTTGGAAGCTTACATAGGTAAATCATTTTTCCTAACTTCTTTTGGATCGTCCCTTTAGCCCATTTGCTCACGGACTTTGTCTTGTAATCCTTAATTCACACTTCCTCTCCCTCTTCGAAAATTTTCAGTTTCTTCCTATCAGGAATATGTTTTACCTGCCTTCCATTGGTAACATTTGTCTCTTCTTGTGGTCTGTTGATTCTTTTTTGTAAAAGGTTCAACCTCGTTTTGACTGGGCGTCCAAACATCAGTTGTGCGGGTGATGTTCCTGTTGAACAATGATCTGTATTCCTGTAATTTATTAGAAAACGAGACATAAGTATTTGTAGCTGTACTCCTTCATTCGACGTATCTGCTAACGCCGTTTTAAGTTTATTTTTGAATGTTCGAACCATGTTTTTAGCAGCCCCGTTACTTGCTGGGTTGTATGGTTGAAGTCAGATGGTGAATTCCATTCCTTTGGAAAAATGTTTCCATGTCCTTCGATACAAATGATGGACCGTTGTCTGTCACTCCAGTGTCCGGTAGGTCAAACCTAGCGAATGTCTCTCTCAATTTCATCTCCGTGCCCTTACTTCTGATAGTCCTCATTTCGAATACTTCTGGCCACTTCGTATAAGCATCGATAGCAAGCAGAAAGTTCCTTTGTTGAATTGGACCTAAAAAATCCAAATGTATTCGCTCCCATGGCCTTTCTGCCAAGAGCCATGGTTATACTACTTCCTTTGGTGGATTCTCCTTATTTTCCTGGCACGGGTTACATGCTCTCACATGCTTCTCTACCTCCTGATCCAAACCGGGCCACCACATATATGATCTTGCCAAGCTTTTCGTTTTCACTATGCCTAAATGGCTAGTATGCAGCTCTTCTAGCATACGTCTTCTTAGAATTTTCGGAATCACTATCCGATGTCCCCATAAAATACATCCCTGTTCCACCATCAGTTCGTCTCTTCTTCTAAGATAAGGTTTCACACACTCGGGCCACTTTTGCGGCCAACCCTCTTCTATGAACTTCTTCACCATCCTAAGTTCTTCGTCTATATTCGTTGCCTGACGTACTCTCTCGTTTTCAACTGGCCATTCCTTTGTTGACGCTGCGAAATACAAGTATCCCTTAGTATCATGTTCTCGTGAGACTATGTTAACATGCAAAGGAATTCGTGAAAGACAATATGGCATATGATTTTTTCTACCTTTTACGTACTCGATCTTATAATCAAAAGATGCTGCTATGAATACTGCCCATCTCTGCAAAAGATCTCGATTTCTCTCCGGGATGCCCTTACTTTCTCCAAATAAACTCACAAGAGGCTTATGATCTGTCTTGATAATGACTCTATTTCCTCTTAGATACTGTTCAAACTTCTTTAGTCCAAATACGATTGCCAATGCCTCCTTATCTATCGTAGCATACTTCTTTTCCACTGGCATTAACGTACGAGATACGCATCCTATTGGCTTTTCCTTGCCATTCTCTCTATGGAATAATACACTCGAAATGCCTTCCGATGATGCGTCACTTGCCAACAATATTTCCTTACTAGGGTCAAAATGACTGAGCTTCATGTCTTCTGCCATCAATTTTTTGGTCAAGTTAAAAGATCTTTCTGTTTCTTCATTCCACTCGAGTTTCTCGTCTCCCTTCTTCAACAGTTTGTACAAGGGGTTCATTACCATTGCTAAATTAGGAAGAAACTTTGCATAATAATTCACTAGTCCTGTGAAACTTCTAACTTGGCTTACGGTTCTTGGTCTGGGTGCATTCAACACCGCTTCTACTTCATCAGAAGTTTTCCGTAGTCCCTTACTGTCAATAATATGGCCTAAATATTCAATTTCTTCCTTGAAAAAATTACATTTATCCTTGTTCAATGTCAATCCTGTGTCTTTCATACGTTCCAATACCATTTCTAAGTTTCTCATAAGTTCCTCTGTTGTTCTCCCAGTAACAACAACGTCATCCATGTATATTATGACACCTTCCATTCCTTGGAATAGTTGCTCTAAGCTGCGTTGCAATGTTGCACTAGCCGGTGCAACTCCAAATGGTAAACGTTTCATACGGTACAGACCCTTATGAGTATTCAATGTTGCCATTTCTTGAGATTTTTCATCCAATATGAACTGCAAATATGCACTGTACAAATCCAACTTGGTGAAACTCTTACCTCCATTCAATTTTGCAAATATTTCTTCAATTCGAGGTAGTGGATACCTCACGTTTTCTGAACATTCATTCAAAGTTGTTTTATAATCTCCACAAATGCGGATGGTATTATCGGTCTTCAATATCGGTAATACTGGCGTTCCCCAATTTGATGCTTCTATGGGTTCTATGATATCCTGCTTGGTCATTATCTCCAACTGTTCCTCGATACGTTTCTTATAAGCGAACGGTACTACAAAAAACTGTTGGGTACTTTGAAATTAAATCAGCTTCCAAATTTTTAATGCTATTAACCTTAGAAACATTCAAATTTATTGAAAATAGTTCCAAAAAATCTCGACCAAGTAAGCTCTGGTCAGTACCATTATCAATGACATAATATTTTACAAGTTTCTTAGTATTATTCAACGATGTTTCTGGTAAAAGGTATCCTCTAGGTGTAATTGTATTGCCAGTATAACCTTTTAATATAATAAAATGTTTACACAACTAAACATTTTGAATTCCCTCTCATACGTTTCTCCACTTAAAACTGTAACCGACGAACCAGTATCTTCACTAAATTCGTACACTTTATTATTCATTTCAATATTCAATTTAAATTTATTCAGATGATGTAAATCTGTTGTCATGTTAAAAATTTCATATTGTTCTAATTTTACCTCTTCAATACAATGCTGATTCCTTATTCTGCATATATTTTCGAGATGTCCAGTCTCATTGCATTTCCTGCATTTAAAATGTCTGTACTTACATCTTCCTACTTCATGATAATTTGAACCACAACATCAACATTTTTTCTGCCGTCTGTCACTGTCAGCTGGTGATATCTGCCATCTTTCTTTCTGTCCCCGCTCTCCATTGACCTGCGCCGCCGACGTCATCCCTCTCGGCCAATGCCGAGCCTTTACTGAGTCTCTTCTGGTCATGCCGTTATGGCTCGCGCTTCCTTCCTGTTTGCTGGGCGGGAATTTTAAATAATGAATCTCTGCTTCGGAACATGCGGCTTTCGCTGTGCTCTCCCTCTGGACTGCCAACTCAAGGAGTTCCTCCAACGTTTTGTCCTCCTTTTCCTCGCACAATCTATCCAAGATTCTTCCAGGCTTCATGCCGCAAATGAATTTGTCCCTGAGTGCGAACTCTAAAGAATCCGTGAATTTGCAATTGACTGCCAGCGCCCTTATCCGTGCATACCATTCGTTAATGGTTTCGTCATCGTTCTGCCTTGCCTCGTGGAATTTGATACGCTCTCGGAATACCGCAACATGGGGGATAAATTGCTTGGTCAACAACTTGGTTAATTCATCATACGATCTTTCCTTAGGGAGTTCAGGAAAGGTTAGGTCCCTCAGCAATTTGTAAATTGCCGTACCCACTAGACTAAGTAGGACTGCAGTTTTTCTAGGCTCTTGCACTGTGTTAGCCTCGAAATATTGGTCAAGCTTCTCTTTGTATACGGTCCAGTCCTCTGAATTAGGATCAAAATCACTCACGTGGTCTATAACGCCTACGACTTCCACTTTGGTCATGATGACGGTTCACGTGTTCGTCACGATTATTTTTCTCCTCGTCCCCACTGTAATGTTTGTGGGAAGATGTAAATAACGTTGAGTCCAGATTGATTCGTTTATTGCACAATACTTGACATCCAACAGCTTACGCCGGTTACATATACGAACTACCGTAACAACTTCACACTCTCTATACATATTGTACCTTGTCGTCATTCCTCAAGGGCCACGCGTCTCATACTGTCCTTATCGTGACCTTCCCTTCGGCTATGTGCCGCGCATACATATTTGACTATTGGCGGGAGGTACGAATTGTAAACGTTAATACATTACAGCATCCAACCGATTTCGGTGCTTGTTTTCTATAATCAGAAGCGCCGAAAACATAGATAGGTCGAAGAAAATAAAGTTAGGTAACGAATAGCAATGTCTCGAAATTTTGGTAAAGAAATTGCCTTTTGGCTCCAAAATTTTTCAAGAATAATTCCTGATTTGAATGTATCTTTTAAGTTACTGTCGTGTAGCATATCAATTACTTCTTGAACACCAGGCACAATAAATGGATTGCGGATCAGTTTTTAAATACTTTTATCCTCGCGGTCGAGAAAATAGCGAATGAATTCAATTTGTAAGTTTTTTAAATATGTTCTTTTGTATTTCTCCTTTAATTTCAGCACTCTATCCATCAATTATTTGATTAAGCTTATCAAACACAAAAAGGTTATTACTTTCGACCTTGTTGATCCATAGCTCGATTTTAGCGATAAACGCACTGATTTTATCTTCATAAGCAAGTTCAACTTCAAATTCTCGACCTTTGCAATAAAAGGTTTAATTTATTCAGTTGCGCAAAAAATCGACCAAATAAGCAAAATGTATTTGAAATTTGGACTCGAAGAACTGAACAAACTCTTTGTTTTCCTTGTTAGTTAAAATAGTTTTACTTCCTCTCAACGCACTTTCGTGTGGAAAAGCAAAGTTTCATGTTCAGAGTTCATGTCAAAACACAATTGTTTGAAGAGACGAGTATTTGGTGCATTCTTTTTAATGGAATTTACTACTTTTATAGCTATTTTCATCGTCAAAGCAAAACATTCTGGAAGCGTCTTGGCAGCTAGTGCTTGACGATGAATAACGCAGTAAGTCGTAATTGCAAACGGATTTTGGTTTTTATCAATGCTGTAAGACCAGAGTGAGAACCAAGCATAGCAGGAGAACCGTCCGTACAATACCCCGCAAGCCGTTCCCACATAAGTCCATGTTTCTTCATATATTGACTTATTGCATCCGGTGGTCCGCGGACCACCGGTTAAGAATTACTGCTTTAGAGCCTCGGCTATCTCGATCACTTCATTCTGCGGTCATTCAAAATTATTTTGTGGAGTTTTTTGATGTTTTCGTCGGTAACTGTGTGCATCGTCCTCGGTGCTCATTAAACCTCGTTTAAACTTAACAAACCACTTCTCAGCAGTTGATTTTCCTGGTGTAAAGTACGAATGACGTTTATCAAGCCAAACCTTCACTTCAACATTATTTTTTCGCCAAAAAGCAATGCTTTATTGATACCCAAAATTCCTTTTTACCCACCAACAAAAAACGCTTTCCTCAAAATGTTCTATCCCATAAACTAATAGTCCGATAGCTGTGAAATTTCGACATGTGTTTTTTGATGGTTACGGTTAACTAAAAATCCTATGGATTTAATACCAATAGTGTTCGCCTACGAACTTTTCATCCCACCTAATACATGTTTGTCTGAAACTTCTTAATATCTGTTAATATCTATTAACATTTCATTTATTTTTTCTGCCATAGACAGGCAAAACTCACACGTTTAAAAATGATAAAAGAAGTGAGATGCTATTTAATTATACAACATATTTTGACTAAAAACTTTGAGAATTATGAAAATATTTCCAAAAATGAAAAATATGAATGTTCGTTGTTTTGGGTTATCTTATCGAAGTTATCGATTAATGTCTGAGGTACGCCAACAGTTGAATTGAAGAAATCAAAACAATTTACATAAGTACTAATGACAGGACCGTAATTAAAATTGTTGTCAATGATGATGTTAGTTGTTTCAAATGTAACGTTATGAAAATATCAAGTGTGATACACCACTGAATTGTAATTTTGTCGCTTTATCAATATTTGTAATAGAAGAGACTGGCCAGTATTTGAAAAAAAAGCGAGTGTGCTCTAGACCACACGACTGAAGTAAAACTTCTTCAGCTCCATCTATATGTATGGTATATATACAGGGCGAATCTCCAGGAACTGCATCGATTGATTGTGGTAAACTATAATTAAGAAAAATCTGAAAATTTGACAATATACTGAAGTTGATGAGGACAACTCGACTAAAATATTTTCAAGATGGCGGCCTTCCGGTTATACCGGAAGTAGATGTTAACTTCATTATTTTATTTTATATAAATTTTAAATGAAACACCGTATATATTATAACATTTTTGGATTCTACATCAGAAACTCAATACTTTTTGTGTATGATGTCCTATATCTGAGTCTGACCGTTTTTGACATATTTGAGTTTTTATGCCAAAAATGACGTTTGCAGACCAGATCCTACGATAGTTTTCAATTTTTCCTATAAAGAAAACTTTAACATTATGGTCGGGTTCCTTGTATAGTAGAACCAAATTCATTAGACTTCATATTAAATTTCGGTAATTGTTAATAAAGAGGGGACAAAAAAGAATGTATATGAAATTTAATAAACCGTCTAAAGTTACTTTTTTCAAATGGAAACCCCCCATTTTTATGATTCAATCGTATTAAGAAATAAAAATAAGGCATGTTTGTATAAGGATACCTATTCCAAAATATAATAGTTTTTTTTTGTAATTTAATATTTTTCTATCGACAGAATACTTGCTATAAAGTTTCTCAATTATGTCAGTTGGCATGACGGCGCGGCGTTAGAAAACAATCAATTGAAACGATAATGTCACTACTTGTCATTTGCAAATTGTCAATAATAAATCATGCCAGGACAATCAAATTACACGAACGAATATTCTTCAAATCTATTTATTATTATAAAGTTAGTTCAAGGACATGTGATACATTTGCGATCCGATTTCCAAAAAAAATAAACCATCACCAAATTCTATCAAAAAAATCACATAAAAAATTATTTTAACAAACGTTCGAACTGATGTCCTTGAATTTCTAGACATTTCTTGCACCTACTTAGTAATTCTTTATAGGTGGCTCTCCTTACTGACTGAGAGTTGAGTTCTTCAAATGCAGTTCTGATCCTCCGCATGCAATCTTCCTTGGCGGTTACTGCGATATTATAAATATCATTTTTGACTGTTCCCCAGATAATACTGTCAGATCTGGAGAGCATATGGCCAAATATGTGGTCCTTTGTTGGTTGTCCATTTATCATAAAACATATTTTGCAGCTGATTATTGACTAAATGGCCATTATGTGGAGGCGCCCCATCGTGTTGGTAGAATACATTCCTATGATCAGCCAGCGGCAAATTTTCTAGGTAGTTAATTTCAAAATTGTGTGAAGATGTTACGATAACGCTCACCTAGAAAACATCAAACGTGTTTTATAACTAAAAGAATTCAAAATTTAGTTCTCTGAATTAATGTTCACTTGGGTCGCTGCAATAATGGGAATTTCGTTAATTAAAATA